GCACCTCTTGAACCCCTTTTGCCCCAATCGCTCTCCCTCCTTCTCCTACGAGCCTACTCGAAACGCTAATCAAGATCCCCCCAGGAAACGACAAAACGCCCTGAACACCTTAACACCACACACACACACACGCGTTTACTTTTCGCCCTCCTCCTCCTCCTCCTCCTCGAGGAGAGGCCAGGGGAGGGCTGGTCAGAGAGGAGCGCCAGCGCCAGCGCTTCGGACCACCCGCCGAGCTCTGGCCGAGCTCTGGCCGGCGCACGGCCCTCGCCTCTCCAGCTGGGCCAGGGCACCACTGCGGCCGAAGGGGCGGGGCGTCCCTCTGCCTGGCTGGCGCCGCCAGTGCGCGCCGTGTGCGCGCGGTGCACGGTGGAGAGACTCCTGGGCCAGGACACGCCCCATCGGGAGTGCCTCCGGGGGCTCTCGGGAGGCCGGGAGTGCCTCCAGGGGCCACAGCCGTGCGCAACCACACGGGCGGTGTCGGTGCAGCATCTGCCCGTGAATGGGGGCTGCGCCGGGAGCCGGGGTGCCCTCCGCGTGCTGCCGTGCGGGGCGCAGGACAAGGACCGAGAGGGCTGCTCTGGCCACGGCTGGCCCCAGCTACGAGGAGGTTCCCCGACCCAGGCTCAGGTCGGGCATGCCCTCCTACGGGCGGATTTGGGGCGACAGAGTCGGGGCCTCAGGCGGGTGCAATCGGCTACACGCAAGAGTGACCTCTGGGTAAGGGTGACCTCTGGTGCGCTGCTTTTTGGGGGGCCGCGGGGGGGACCAGACTCACGCGCGCAGGACGCTCTTGTCGCAGCGCGCTCGGCGAGCGGGGGGCCCCCGTGGGCCCTTCACCGAAGGTCGCTCCGGTGAAGGGCCACTCCTGCGAGGCGGGGACTTGTCCACATCCACCGCCCGGGAACCGACGTCCTGGTGCCCCGGCGGGCGGTGGACATGGGTATATTTCGGCCCCAAGGGGCCCGAAGATGTCCACATCCACCGCCTGCCGAGGCTCCGAAGACTAACCCTCCAGGTAATACATAACATGTCTAAAAATACAAGATTTTTTGTACATGATCAATGTATGAATAAATGTATGCATGAACCCATCGTTGTTTTTGATGCTCAATCCCTGCATGTCTAATACATGATCCGCACGCGGAGCATGTATGAAAAACTGCCCTGTAGTTGATGCAGCGCCGAAGCCTACCTCGCCGTTGCCCACATCGCCGTGGGCGCGCCCACGGCAGATCGGAGGACCGGCCCGACGGCCCGAGCCCCTCTGGGGCCAGACGCGCTCCTCACGTCAGCGGATCCCGTGGCCTCGGGCGCGCAGGCAGCGGCTCCTGCCCGGCCCTGCCCATTGCCGCCAGCAATAAGTCAAGTCAAGTCAAGTTGGGCGCCCGAGTTATCCAGGGTAACTCGGGTCCGGGGTAACCCGGGTTTGGATTCCCGAAAAGGGAACCCGAGTTAGCCCTGACCCGAGTTACCCCTGATGATTTTGGGGCTCTGGACGCCCGAATTATCCGGGGTAACTCGGGTCCGGGGTAACTCGGGTTCGGATTCCCGAAAAACGAACCCGATTTAACCCTGACCCGAGTTACCCCTGATGATTCGGGGCTCTGATCAAGTCGGAACCGTGCCTTGGACGGCACATCGGTTGCAATGCGCGGCTGCTGCACGCACTGCCGCTGGCAGAAGGCAGTCGCCTGGCTCGCAGCGGCGCGGTCGTAAGCAGCCTGGAAAAATAACAATGGCAATGTATAAGCTGATATGTTTTGCGCCACTGCCGCCATAGAATAAGAAACAAACATATACACATATAAACTTTTGGCGCTCCGCGCGGACTTCTTGGATCCGCGCGCGCCAGGGGGCGGCGCCGGAGGCGCCGCCGGGGGGGGGGGGCCCAGCGCGGATCCAAGAAATCCGCTCGGAGCGCCAAAAATTAATGTTTGTATGGTTTCTTCTTCTTCGACGCCAGACAGGAAGCTCGACGGGGGTGAGGAGGACGGCAGCGGCTACGAGAGCGCAGACAGATGAGGGGGGGGAATGGCGAAAAGGGAGAAGGAACTCAGCAGGAGGCGGGAGGAGGTATGGGGCACACTGTGGGGCAGCACGTGCGGAAGAGGAGGAAGAGGAACCCAGGTAGTGCCCCTGAGCCCCTCACATACCAGCCTCGAACTTATCCCTATCCCTAAGATGGGCAAGCAAAACGCGAGGACAATCTTAGGGATAGGCCCTCTGAAACTGAGGGAACCCTTAAGATCGGCATCGAGGTGAGGTGATGTCAAACATAGGGATGGGGATATGCTTCAAACTGGCAATCACACTCCGTCAAGCCTACTCTCCGTTCGCCCTCCGCATCTCACGAGCTCCCCAGAGCTCCGACGCCCCGGTGCTGTTCAAAGGCGTGAGCCGCGGCGTTCTCGTGCCCCGTGCGCGGACGTGGGCCCTTCTCCGGGAGGCCACCCATGGCGGGCCCCGTGGGGGCCGAGCCAGGGGGCACCCGGACGCCGGAGTGGCGCCGAGGGACGGGCGCGGCGTGCTGCGCTCGCTCCCAGGAGTCAGGCCCCAGGCCTGTCCCGGAGCCCCTCACACTCCGTAAAGCCTACTCTAGGGCGCAAACAAACCTACCTCGCTTTTGACCACCCTCGCTTCCAAGAGATACCAAGCGACGCCAAACTACGGCCTGCGCTGGTCAGGCCGCTTGACGAGGAGGCGCGTGGTATGACTTGGCTTTGCCTGGACGTTCTCATGCCCCGTGCGCGCACCTGCCCTTCTCCGGGAGGCCACCCCGTGGCGGGCCCCATGGGGCCGAGCCAGGGGGCACCCGGGCGCCGGAGATTGCGCCGAGGGACGGGCGCGGCGTGCTGCGCTCGCTCCCAGGAGTCCAGCCCAAAGGCCTGCCCCGGAGCGCGGTCGGAGGAAGATGCCGCGCGGGTCCAGCCGTGCCGACGAGGCCCCCAATGCAGGGCTCCGAAAAAGCAGAGCTTCTCGTGCAGACGAGTTCTCCATGCCCTCCTCGTCCCCGCCTCTCCCCTGCCCCCTGCTGCTCCTGCTGCGCCTCCTCCTGCTCCTGCTCCTGCTCCTGCTCCTCCTCCTCCTCCTCCTCCTCCTCCTCCTCCTCCTCCTCCTCCTCCTCCCCTCCCCCTCCTCCTCCTCCTCCTCCTCCTCCTCCTCCTCCTCCTCCTCCTCCTCCTCCTCCTCCTCCTCCTCCTCCTCCTCCTCCTCCTCCCCCGCACGGGCAGGAAGGCGCGCGGGGAGTAGGAGGAGATGGAGGAGAAGGAGCAGCAGCAGCAGCAGCAGCAGCAGCAGCAGCAGCAGCAGCAGCAGCAGCAGCAGCAGACTGTGGGAAGAGGGGAACGAGCAGAACCAATGGAGAACGCGAGAAGGAAGGATGAGAAGGAGTATGAGGAAGTAGAGGAAGAGGAGGGAGGAGAAAAGGTGGGCGGAGGGAGGAGGAGCAGCAGACGCAACAGCTGCGGCGCGCAAGTCCGAGCAAGGCAAAGAAGGAGGACGAGGAGAAGGAACAGGAGGAGGATGAGGACGAGGGGGACAGGTGTTGTGATTGCAGTGAGGCATTGTGCAGGATGAGGAGGAGGAAGAGGACGAGGAGAGATGAGAAAAGATTGGCGGCGCGAGGAGGAGCAGCAGACGCAACAGCTTGGGCACGCAAGTCCGAGCAAGGCAAACAACAATGATGATAATGGTGATGGTGATGGTGATGGTGATGGTGATGACGATGACGATGACGATGACGATGATGATGATGATGATGATGATGATGATGATGATGATGATGATGATGACGAGGATGAGGATGAGGATGAGGATGATGGTGATGATGATGATGCTGATGCTGATGCTGATGCTGATGCTGATGGTGATGCTGATGATGATGAGGATGAGGATGAGGATGAGGATGAGGATGAGGATGATGATGATGCTGATCCTGATGCTGATGCTGATGCTGATGATGATGGTGATGGTGATGGTGATGGTGATGGTGATGGTGATGACGATGATGATGATGATGATGATGATGATGGTGATGATGAGGAGGATGATGATGATGATGATGATGATGATGATGCTGATGATGCTGGTGATGACGAGGAGGGGGAGGAGTGCAGCGAGGCATGGTGCGTGCATGCTCGTGGGTGCGCAAGCACCAACAAGCCGAGCTGCGCGCCCCAGGCCCCGCGCGAGCGAGCGCGACGTCGGGGAGCACCCCGCCCGACGTGAGAACTCCGGAGGGCTCCCCTCGGCACGAGGCACGGGGCCGCCCCAGCGCGCCCGCGGCCCGAGGCGAGGAGGGGAGGGCGGAGCGCCGAGGGGGGATGGAATAAGGGGGGGGGGAGGGCGGGGTGGAGAGGCGACGGGCGAGGAGAGGCGAGGAGGGCAAGCCGGGCGCGCTCACGCCATATCTGGCATCCTACTCCCCCTCCCTCCCCACTGCGCAGGTTTGTCTTTATCAGCCGACGCGTGCCATAGCGGACCTGAAAAACTAAAAGCACCCCTTTCTCGTGTTGCACGCATTCGGAAAGGGGAAGCTGCGCACATTACGAGGAGGATGTGGCGGATGCGTTGGAGATTCAACAGGAGGAAAATCAGGAGGGAACGGAAGAAGGAGGATAACGACGGACAGCAGCATGAGCTGGAGCGGAATAAATTTGGAACACCAAGAGGACCAGGGGAAGGCGGGAGAGGGAAAAGGACGGGGCAACGACGATGAGGACGGATTCGGATCCAGAAAAATGGCTCGCGCCCGGGCGAGAGTGCCGTTCTGAACGACGAGAGGAAAGCGCCGATCCCCAAATGAGCAAAAGCAGCGGGAGCGCCATTTGAAAGGACCGAAGCGTTCGGATGGTGTACAGAAAATTGCAGAGGGAGGCGGAGGGGAGGGGAAGACGGAGGATGGGGGGGGAACCACGAGGGAGGCGGATGGGGGAAGGCGGACAAGAAGCGAGGAAGAAGGAGGGTGGGAAGAATGGGGGGGGGGGGGGGGGGCAAACCTCGGGCGAGTCCGTCTCTGGGCACCAGCCGCCGAAGAGAACCGTCTGCAGCAGCCTTGCGCACCGCGCGGACTCGGCATTGGAGGAGCCGCCCATGAGCTCGTCCTCCGGGGAGGGTGGGGGACGGGAACGGAGGATGAGGAGAAAGGAGGAGGGAGGAGGAGGAGGAGGAGGAGGAGGAGGAAGAGGAGGAGGAGGGAGGGAATTCGGTTCGGGAGCCAGTGGGGACCAGGTCAAGCCTGGGCACTGTCGAACATCGCATCGCAGGAAAGCTTGCACCTTTTTGGGGGGAGGCCCCTGAACAAACGAGGAAGGACCTCCTTCCCAGCTTTCGTAGGAGGACGGCCCACAGCTTTGTACGGATGACCCAAGCTCTGGGTTGTGACACTGGCGTGTGCTCCACATCTTTCACAACAGATCACGCCTCGCACACTTTCCAACATGTGATTACACGCACAGTTCGGATACAGAGTGTGGAGCAGGGGATCCGAAGACAACGTCGGGCCGACGCAGGGCCCAGAAAAGAACCCCAGGGGGCACCACAAGGGAAAGCGCCGAGCACAGATCTGCCAAACGAGTCCCCTTACGTCCTCAATGCAGCTGTGGCCCGATGCCGGCAATCTGGGATTTCCGGGCACAGCAGGAAGAGAAGGGCACGCGGCCTGTCAGGTGGGCAGCCAACTCGGGAGGCGGTCTGCCTCTTGAGCGCGGTGGCCACCTCCATGCTCACAGATACGAGGCGGCACGAGACGGAATGGGCACGGTCATCTTGCTCCGGAACGCGCCTGACAATGCTTTCGTGAGCAGAAACAGAGAAGGCATCTGCGGCCCAGCCTTCGGAACAACTGGCACACCGAATCGACACATGCAAGCCATACCCCATGGCGAGATGTTCCTGCATGGCACGAGAAGCGCGAGACCTAGTCCAGAGAGCAGTGATCCTACGGGGGCCTCAAAGATCGATTGCATTGCAGATCAAGGCCCAGAGCATAGGCGAGTGCTGGGCCACATGAGCCCGCGACGTATTCATATAGCGACAGAAGGGCCGATCCTTATCATCAGAATGATCCAGGACGACCAGGAATGCGACCAAAACAGTCCGTGGACTCAATTGCTCGGCAGTAGGAGAACCACCGCCAAGCGCAGCATCCAAACGTTGACAATCATCTTCGGGATCCCCCGGACCTACGACCGTCCAGCCAGATCGGCGAGCACGAACGCCCAGACAACGCCCACCCCCTGAGCCGTCAAGGCCCTGCCTAACTCCATCCAGAACTTGGCGCTGGCAGGCAAGACCCCAAGACTTGACGCGAGGGGCAGGTGGTGGAGCGAGTCCAACGATACAGTCGATCGGTGGGAGGCCAAGGGCCCAGAGATCACCTTCAGGTCCCGCAGCAGCAGCGCGAGCACACAAAGAAGAGGTGGCTCGCGCAACGATATTATGCATGTGCTCGTTGCGAGGGCAGATGCCCGCGCGATGTCTAGCGGTCTCTGCGTGATCCACACGCCTGGGCGTCCTCCCGTTTGCAGCACGCCCTGAAACTGGAAGCCGGCCATCAGGTCCGAACGCACCAGCTGGTGGCCATCATCCCCATGGTGCTGCTTGCGCAGCTAGTGGCAAGCCGTGACGTCCACGCCGTGCACTACGCCCGCGGCGCAGTAGCACTCGGCAAACTTAGACCCGGCCAACTCCAAACGCGCCCCCGAACACGGAGACGAAGATGCTATCTGAAATCGGAGTCGCTCATCACCCGCGGTTTCCCCCTGGGAATCTCACAGCTGCCGAGAACCCTGAGGGCCCATCCAAGACCCAGGATAGTTGCGCACGCGGCCCCAATAGAGCCTCTGACCAGCCTCCCACGGCGGGCCGCTGACTCACCTCCCAAAGCGTCTATCTTCGAGACCGCGATCGTCGAGCTCCAGCCTTTGCCCCAGCTGGCAGCCAGACCCGCGCGCCAGAGAACGTTCTGAGCAATCTGCACGCAGGATCGAACTCCAGAATCCCGAGCATGACGCAGCAGTAGCGCGTGTATGCTTGAATTTGTTACTGAATTTGTTACTGGGGAGCACAAGGACACCGTGGCCCAAAGAGCCACCCGAAAACTCGCCAGGCTTGCAGACTTTCCGCGATCGCACACAGAGGGAGGCCAGGCACCTCAGCTTTCCCTGAACCTTTTTGATTTCAATCGCCCTCCTCGTCCTCCGCCTTCCTCCCCTTCCCAGCTGTCGCCGCAGCTCCCGAATCGGTTGCTGAAGCTACGCCGGGGGGCCAATGCCTGGCGCCCGGAGCCGATGGGGGCAGGAGGCGCCGCGTGCGACCTCGTGGAGGCGCGGGGGGGTGCGGCAGCGGGCCCTCTCCAAAGCACCATGCACCATGCAGGCAACCATTGACTCGCGGCATGCTCTGCGCACGCCTTGCCGGCATCAATTCGCAAGCCACCGCACCTCAGAAAACCAAGAGTCGAGGGGGTCGGCGGGATAATCATGCTCGACGGCCACGCGCGTGAGCCCACGAGGGGCAACGGAGGCGCAGAATTTCCCCCATGTCCGACCTGCGGGCACCGCCGCCGCGCAAGAATAGAGAGAGAGAGAGAGAGAAAAAAAGAGAGAGCAGCCCCGTTAGAAACCTCGCGCTAGATCGCAGCCTTGAGGGCCGAGGGGCCCTTTGCCACCGCGCCCCAGAACTCAAGGTGTTTTCGATTCCAAGAATCGATATCAAACCAACGAGCTACTTGTGCAGTGCGTATCCGGTAAAGGGCGGGGAAGTTCGCGGTGGCACTCGCCTCCTTAACGGACTTCGAGAGCACGGCCATGAGACATAACAAACACTGTGGCGGGAAACCCACATCGGTCTCAATCTGCGCGGAGGCGTCAGTGGGCTGCTGGAGAGGGGAGGGGGCAGCCAAGGAAAGGATGAACTTTGGCGACGATGGGCCCCACTCCCGCAGCAATAGCGCCACCGAAGAACGCAAGCACGACACACATCTTTCGGTTCGATCGGCCCCACCTCGATCGGCGGAACTTGCGCCAAGGAGCGAGACTTGTCAAGGCCGGCATTGGGGCAACGCCTGACCTGGGCATCCGATGGCCACCAGTGGCTCCAACAGCGCCTGCGGCGTGCCATCGTGCTAACAGGATCGTTCACAGCCCCGAGATATGCGCGCACACGTTTAGCACCGCGAGGCAACGCGCGCTCGATTGCATGCCTGATTCCACGCGCGTGCGAATCCTTCAGAACCACGAGCAAGCGCGGGGCGGGCATCTCCACGCCTGCATGGCGGATCGGAAACAGCGCTTCCCGAGCAGTGGCCTCATCAGGGTCCTTCAGGGATCCCGCATGGGTGCCAAGGGCAGGAGCCCGACCGCCGAAAAACTCGCGCCGCCTCACAGCATGGCTGCTGCGCGAGCCTTTCGGGAGCTCCCAGTCTCCATGCGGCGGAGGCGCCGCCGTGGACCAGAGTGCGAGGGCGGGGCAGCGGACGCCCTGGGCAGCTGGGCCACGCTTCGCCGCGGACGCGCCGCGTTCCTATGGCATGGCGCCCTCGCCCAGTGACAGGTGACGCTCTACAACAATTGCGCAAGCGCGAGATAACATGATCAGCTCAGCCACTCTCGACCACAGAAGGTAATTACTGATCACCCAAATTGAGAACGAGTGCTCCAGAGCATGCCGAGGCATGGCAATCCTCGCGCCGTCGAGGAAATGGAGTGCCCGCGGCGAGGGCAAACGGCCAGCTGCGGCAAAGGGTGCCAAGGTGTGTCAGCCAACCATTGTCTGGACCATAGGCGTCTGGAAACTTCCGGAGCCGTCTCCTGGCCATCGCTCGGACGTCCATTCCCTGTGTGTTTTTCGGTTTCGTGCGTGGTTTCTTCGCCAAATGATCAGGGATGCTCGTCGATGGTCCTCGCCGAAGGAAAAATGCAAACGTCCGAACGATGCCAGGTCTCTTATGGCACACGGGAGATGGACAAGCTCTCAAAGTCCATGCAGAAATCCAAGCATGAGAGGTGGCGCCAGCCGGTATGGCAGCGGACGGGCAGGCACGCTCACTACGCATCACACAGTCGATCATGGCCTCGCCCACATCGGAGGCAAAAGAAACATGATCGGGGACACTGGTACTGGCACGTGCAGTGCTCAGATCTCCTAGCTATTCCAAGATACCAGGAGCCAAATTGACCCCCCCCGCCGTCAAAGCTCATGGGGACCTAGAGAGTAATTATATTGACGAAGGTGGCGTTTGCTCGAAGGCGGCGAACGTTGTCTCCCGAGAAGCCGATGGAATCAATCAAGTACACCACCCCCGCATAGATAGTACACGACCAAAGCCTCACCTCGAGGAGGAGCCAACCTTGTTCCCCAGAACCCACCTGATACTCGCTGCTGGCCTGGACCACAAACTTCCGAAAGTACAGCCCGGGTTGGACTGCAGCACAGGCCCCACCTTGAATTCCTCCACCACAGGGGCCCAGTGCGCTCTGGAAGCACGGTGGCCAACGAAGCGGCCTGCACAACCACTGCGCACGGAGGCCACGCGCCTCATCACGAAGGCGATGGCCAGCCACGCACGCTCCGTCCGCCGCAGCAACGCTTGCGTCCAGGGATTCCTGGGCGAACTTGGAAGCGCTGGATACATGGCAACACTCGGCATGCACGCGTGCACGTGCACCCGCCGTCCCATGAGGGGCTGGGTCGGGGTCAAAGTGGCTGCTTGCTGTCGGCAGCGCCTGCAGCTCCAGGGGCGAGCGCCCAGCAGGATGTGCAGCTTGGCCTCGTTCTTGGTACAGTCGACGGCGCCGTTCGGCACGAGGGCCATTCTATATTTTCAGGAGCGCGCACATCGCCAGGACCGGGGGCACGAACACCACCTGCACCATCTCCTCCAAAAAGGGCGCCATGAACACCGGGAGGCGAGCCGCCACGCTGGGCAACCGCCGCCGCGGGCGCTGGCGGGGCCTTGGCACGCGGGCCCTCGGGATGCGCCTGGGCTGTCGCCCGCGCCGCCTGGCGGAGCCTGCGCCGCAGCCTCTGCCAGCGCTGCCGCCTCCAGCCCCTTGTTGGCGATATACGGCTGTGTCTGGTTGTTGACATCCGTGGGACTGAAATCCGGTTTGGCATCATCAGCGACCTGATTGAGATCCTGCAGCTCCAAGACCACCTCGTCGTAGGTCTTCCCACGATGGGCCAGCAAGGGAGGGAGGAGGAGGGAGGAGGGAGGAGGGAGGAGGGATGAGGAGGGAGGAGGGAGGGGGAGGGAGGAGGGAGGGAGAGGAGGAGGAGGAGGAGGAGGAGGAGGCAGAAGGAGGGCGCGGTTTCTCGAGGCAGCTGCCGGCCGCCTGTTTTTGAACACATCGCGCGGTGAGGCCATCGGCGGGTACCCCCCGACGCGCCACCGCCAGCGTATGTGTCCACATCCACCGCTTCGGCGTCGTGCCCCGGGATCTCGAGGCGCGGTGGACGCTGCCCGCCCGCGTTGGCGGGCAGACATCCATACGTATCCGCCGCTCCTCCTCCTCCGCCTCCGCCTCCTCCTCCTCCTCCTCCTCCTCCTCCTCCTCCTCCTCCTCCCCTCCTCTTCCTCCCCCAGCTCCTCCTCCTCATCCTCCCCCTCCTCCTCCTCCTCCTCCTCCTCCTCCTCCTCCTCCTCCTCCTCCCCCTCCCCCTCCTCGAGAGACCTCCCCGAATGCTGCCGCCGCGGCACAGGGGAGGAGCAGGCGGCGAGGCGCCGCAGGGGTGCCGTCTCCCCCGGCCCCCCGCAGCCCGCTCGGCAGGACTGCGACCCTCTGGGCCCCGCGGAGCTCTCCCGCGGCGGAGCGGCGAGGGGACGGGGACCCGTTAGGGGTCGTCTCTCCCAGCCCTTGCGGCACGGGCGGCAGGACCTTGCCCTTCTGGGCCCCTGGAGCTCTCGCGGCGGATCGGCGAGGGGACCCGTTCAGGGCGGAGCGCCCCCCACAACACAGGTTGACCCCCCGCACGCCGCACGAGGGGCTGTGCCGTCTTTCCGGGTGGGGTCCGAAGCCCCAGATCTACGAACGCTCACGCATCGCCCTCGCTTCTCTGGGGCCCCCAATGTGGTGCCCTGGCCTCCTTCGCTCCTGTGAGTGCGGAGCGGGGCTGGTTCCAGGCAGAAGGAGGACGACGAGGCTGGAGCCCATCGGCTTCAGGCGAGCGTGCCTCGGATCGGTTCAGCGCTGGAGCAAAACTGAGGACGTACCGCGGCGAGGCCCCATCCCTCGAGGCAGTCACGAGTGAGCGTGGCGGGCGAGGAAGCCTTTGCCCTCTCTTCGGGTCGGCGCCGTGCGCCTGCTTCCCAACCATATTGCCAAGGGAGTCGCAACCTGTCTAGAAGCTACATGCTTGAGTAAGTCTTGATAAAGCAACTATGAGGATGCATGATCTGTCGCTCTCTTGGGGGGCCTGACTTGCCCCAGGGCTTCTACGGACCCCTGGGGGTAAGAAACTTACGTGGGGTACCTGCCGACAGGCCGATGTCTTGCTTGATGGGCCTACCGATCGGGCGCATCCGAAACGAGTCATGATTTGGCAAGACGCGCGATTCCCTTTAAAACTCATGCAGGAACTGCCCGCCCCATGAAATCGTCAATACTGCCCAAGAGGAAAGAAACTGAGAGGGAAGGACAGGCAATGCCTTGTTTGGATCTGCGTAGAGCACCACTCCTTTGGACCCCGCCCCACAAGCGCAGCAACGGGCGACAATCGCACAGACGGCAGCACCTAGGGAAGGCCGCCATTCCGCTGGATACCCGCGCCCCAATGACGCAGCAAAGCAGCGACATATGCACACACCGGGGGGGCGATGTCTAAGCTAGACCTGTGTAGAACACAGCCGGGATGGACCCCCGAAAGACGCAGCAAAGCGGCGGCAGTGGCACGTCACTCCGCTAGACCCCAAAGGGTTGCAGCAAAGAAGCGACATTTGCGCGCCTGGACGCACCCGGTGCGGCGTCATCCCGCTTGACCATCAAGGGACGCGGCGGTTTTAACGTCAGGCAGCCTGAGGAGCATGAGGATGCGGAGGACATAGAAGGTCGAGACGTTCCTCAATGCCGCCTCGGCGACTTCATGAGAAGGCCCATGCTGGAGAGCAGGGGGAGGGGCAGGGCAGGGATGAGGGAGGGCGGGGAGGGGAGGAGGGGAGGGCGAAACTGAGGGAGAGTACAGTAGGAGAGCGACCAGAAGAAACCTTCTGCAAGGAACCCAACCCTGAGACCCCAGGACGTCCATTGATTTTTGGTGTGGGAACGTCACGCTTTCCATAGCAGCAAAACCATCGAAGCCCAAGAAGTCCAGGCCACCCTGGAGGAAAGCAGGGTGTTTCTTGGCATGGGCTTCCACTGTAGGAGGGAGGGGGGGGAGGCAGGGAAGGAAGAATGGATGGGGGACAAGGAGGAGAAAGACGAGGAGGAGGGGGAGGGGGGTGAAGGGGGGGAGGAGAGGAGGGCGTGAACAGGGGGAGGCGGACGGGAGGAGCGGAGGAGGTGGGAGGAGGAGGAGGAGGAGGAGGAGGAACAGGAGGAGGAGGAGGAGGAGGAGGAGGAGAGAGGAGGAGAGGGAGGAGGAGGCGGAGCAGGATCAGGAGGACAGCCCGAGTCCTTCGTCTCGAAGGTGGACAGCCCCAGCACGCCAGTGGGCCCGGACCTCGCGGGCCCGCCTCCACCACGATGTCGTCGCCGTCGTCGTTTCATCCGCCTCCTCTGTATTCGCCTCGGCCTCGGCCACTTTCTCCTCCCCCTCCTCCTCGCTCACATGGTCTGCCACCTCGAGCGATTCCACCTGTGTCTTAACACACAGATGCGTATATAAATGCGAGCATTTGTGTACACTGTATGGACATATATACATATATATATATATATATACATATAACGAGGGATGATATGTTTATACAGGTGTACGTAGATACAGTATAGATCGATATGCGGATGAATACATACATACATGTGCATATGCATGTATCGGTCGATTGGTATATACACCTATATGAATACAAACACCTGTATATATGTGTACACACACGAAAAAGTAGATAGACTGCTACAGGTACCAACATACAACTAGATACATGTATACTCGTATCTAGACATACACATGTATACACACACACGTCTATGTATACCTTCGTGTGCGCATGCATGTGCATGTGTGTATGCATGTGTGTGTGTGTGGTTGGACGCATGCATGTGTGTATCCATGTGTGGATATAGAAAGGTCGGTGTGTGCAAATGTATGTACGTACGTGCATACGGACGTACGTATGCGCACATACGTATGCATGTATGTGTATATATATATATACACTTGCACGCATGCACGCATGTATACATATATGTATGCATACATGGATGTGTGTAGATATGCATGTTCGTGTGCATGTATGAAAGTATGTATCAGTGTGCGCATGTATGTAGATATGGATGACTGTGTGCATGAATGCATGCATCTATGTTTGTGTGCACGCATGCATGATTGCATGCATGTATGTAGGTAGGTATATCTGAATGCATGTATGTGTACAATTGGTTGGGCGTGTATGTGTGTGTGTGTGAGTGTGTAGTTGCGGACTGTGCATATATGTACGTATGTATGTTTTGATGGAGTCAGTGATGCATGTATTCATGTGCGTATGAATGCATGCTTGTATGTATGACTGGTTGTGTGTGGATGCAACTGTGTATGACCACACATATGCATACACATAGCTACATCCAGAATAAACAAAAATAACGTAAGGAAGCTGACAGAGATGAGCGCCACCACAAGGTAATTGTTTGACCCTCGTTGCCCACCTTCGAGCCTCCCACGACGTCACCGAACCACCAACGGCAGTCTCGGACAGCCGGAAAGAGCGCCTACATGCCGCCAAGTGGGACGCGAAATGGTGTCAAAGGAGCCCATGGAGGCCCAGTCAGTCCTGGAGACGCCCAATACGCTCCAATAGGCCTCCAACGCGTCCCTGCACAGGGCCTTTAGATCCCCAAAGCCATTGACTTCTGTGGACTCCGAGTTGCTGTCGGTCCCTCGCCATTTCGAGCTTCCGATGCCCGAATTCGGCCCAAGAGGCCCCCAAGCGGCCCCGAGGCGGCCTAAGCACCCCCTAACAAAGCCCCCCACAACGGCCCGACGTCGCCCAAAGCAGACAACGAGGCCCCCAGGACAGCCTCAGCGGCCCCGAAACGGGCCCCAAAGAGCCTCGAGGCCTCGATAAAGGGAAATTGAACTGGCCTCGAGATCCTTTCTCTTTCAAACGTGGCGACTGAGACCCCAGCCTCCTCCCAAGAGCCATCCAGAGACCTCCACAGGTCTAAGGGAGGCCCCCGAGAGTCCCGCAAAAGCATCCAGGAAGCCTCCAGCGGCTCGCCCAGCGGCCCAGAACGGGCCGACAAGCTCCCAACAAGGCCGCGAGATGGCTCCAAGACGCATCCAAAAGGCTCCAGCAGCACAAAGTCCGCGAAGTCCTCCACCTTCTCCTTGTCATCCTCTCCCTCCTCCTTCTCCGTATTATCCGCCTCCTCCGCCTCCTCCTCCTCCTCCTCCACTTCCTCTACGTCCTCCGCCTCCTCCTCCTCCTCCTCCTCCTCCTCCTCCTTTCCTCCTCTTCCTCCTCCTCCTCCTCCTCCTCCTCCTCCTCCTCCCTTCCCCCTCCTCCTCCTCCTCCTCATCATTGTCCTCGGAGGATGGATCCAGGACTTTACGAGGCTCACAAAACATGGATGGGCATCGATCCTGCATGGGCTGGTGGGATACGCCAAGCGTCAAGAATGACAAGGGACGCCCAAGGCAAAGAAGTGGGAAGGACCTCACCTACTGCTGGCATGATGGAAGGGGGCCCTGGTGGAAACGGGCACTGGAACCAGCTCTTCATCCCCGTTCTTCTTTCGACGGCTCCAGGGCCATGGGGAAGGCCCTGCCCTGGGAGCCCGAGCGTCGCGAAGAACCTCCACGATCCCCTCTTCACAGCGACCCTGAGCAGCACCGAGATCCTTCCGAAAGCAAAGCGGCCCGTGTGTCCAGCGCTCTGCCTGCAGCCTGCCCGGGCACCGGGGCCCATGAGAGCTCCTGCAGCCCCCGCGGCGACGGCCCTGCCCTCGGCAATCGCCCGCCGCACCGCTGCTGTGTGCGGCGGAGCGCCGCCCCTCCCTGGCGCCTCCCCCTCCTCCTCCTCCTCCTCCTCCGCCTCCTCCTCCTCCTCCTCCGTAGCCATTTTGGCTCAAGACCCATGCTTTGGCGGGCTGAGCCCGCATTGGCAAAAACGGATACCGCTAGTCCGCGGCAGCTTTCAACCAATCAGGAGGTCCCTCTCTCGAGGGGTTCGCGAGCCTCCAACATCCCTTTCCTAGCTCTCGTGCCATGGCTCCTGCTGGCCCTGGTGAGTGGGAGCGCCGCCCGTGGGTCCAGGCCTCCAGGCCCCGTCGCTGGGGAGGCACTATACCCGAGGGAGGAGTTTCGGCTGATAAGTGGGATAAATGGGACAGCCAGCGAGGCAAGCACGAGGAGGATTGGAAGACGGTGGCTGGGCCCAAAGGTGAAATTCTATGCCACCACTGCGGTTGCCGGAAGAACTCAAAAGGATCGATGTGCTGCAAACATTGTGGCCAAAAGCTTGGCTCTCGACCCCAACCTCTGGAAGACCCTGGGGCCCCCAAGGTGTCGGATGAGATGGGGAAGGGAGCGGGCAAAGGGAAGAAAGGTTACAAAGGTGGCAAGGGAGAGCCGCTCGGTGGCAAGGGCACAGGCAACCTCTCCTCGGCACTCCCTCCTGGACCTGTTCCCGAGATTCCTCAGGCCAAGGCCCTCGAACTACAGCGTTTGGCTCGTGAGGCTGGGGACGCGGTGGGGGCCGCGCGCTATGGAGCCCTGGCGCAGAGAGCGGCTCCGCCCCCGAAGCCGTCGGGGAGGCAGAGGCTCATTGCCGCGGAGCAGAAGCAGGAGAAGCTCGAGAAGCGCCTCAACAGCGAGTTCGAGAAGCTGGAGCGCTGGCGTCGGGCGACTGAAGAGTTGGCAGCCACGGTCGGGGCCCTGGCCGACGAGCTGCAGGCCGCCGACGCCGAGGTGGCAGCCGCCCTGGTGGAGCTCCAGAGCCAGCACAGGGGACCACCAGCGACGGAGTCCAGCGGCCTGGCAAGCATCAGCCTGCGAAAGCTCATTGACGGCGAAATGGAGTTGGCCAGCCTTATTTCTTGTGACGATTTCATTGATGTGGAGGCTGTCAAGGGCAGCTACGAGGTGTCTGAAGAGGACCTACGTGAGCTCGAGGAACGCAAGAACGACGTGGCGAAGCAGTTGCAAGAGGTGCTGGGATCGGTGTTTCGCCAAGCGCTGGAGAAAGCCAACTCCGCTCAGGACCAGCACAAGGAGCACCTCAAACGTCTTCAAGCTAAGCGACGACGTACCGCTGATGACGGCCCTGGCGAACAAGCAGCAGCCACTGGGGGGATCGAGTCTGGACCAGGGGTATCGCCAAGCCCAGAGACAGCGACGCCGTGCTCAACCGCTGAGGCGACGGTGGATGCGCTGGGAAAGGCTGCCCCACAGGTGGACATTCGCTCTCGCGTCGCTGCTGACGGTGGCGTCAAAGCTGCTAAACGGGCAGGCCTTTAGCAACAGCGTGAGCTCGACTCAGGTGGGGGCGACGTGGTCGAGTTCGGCGACTCCCTGTTCTTGGTCTTCGAAGTCGTTTGCCACGTGCGCATCGGCGAAGCCATCTTCTTCGGTTGAGTGGTCAGCGTCGGGGTTGGCTACTCCCTGTGCTGCGGTGTCGCCGTCGGCGCCAGTGTCGGCGACTCCCTCGGCAGCGGTGGCGACGTCGACCTCGCGGGTGGCGTCTACCAGTTTTGTCGGATCGGAGTCCAGGTGCGCCTCGAGCCTGGTCTCCTCAGAGTTTAATTGCGTGGAAGGGCGGCCACGTGTGTCGGCAACAGGTCAGAGCGCCGAGTGCGTGACAGCCAGTCAGAACGCAGCCGTCAAGCCCAACCAGAGCTTGGCGGCCCTCCCGTCCAAACCTTTTGTCGGATGCAGGAAGGAAATTTCAGCGTCAGAGCGCGACAGCCAGGTGCTCCTCGAGCCTGGCTGTCTCAGAGTAGATTGTGTGAATCCACCGTGGGAGTCTGGAGTTAGATCGCAAAATCCTGGGGGCAACCGATTCTCGGACGAAGTGCCCACCCAGGTTCAGTCGCCACGGGCTGGGTCTCGAGCCAAAGGAGTCAGTGTTGAACCACCCCATGGAGAGTCTCAAGCAGCGCTGCAGCAGAAGCAGGTCATCTCCTTGCTGGAAGGGCTCCCTCCTGAGGATCACGGTGACCTAGGCACGTTCCGAGTCGGCACTCTCAATGCGAATACGTGGCCAAGGGCTCGGATCACCATGCCATGGATCGAGAAACAATGCCAGATGCCGCACGTGTTATGTATTCAGGAGACCGTGTTGGACCAGTCGGGGGAAGCAGGAGCCCATCAATGGTCTCGCTCCTGCTCACGGAAGCTGGCGCTGGGTCCTGCCAAGCGCACTGGAGAATCGGCCAGATCTCTCTCAGCAGGAGTTGGCTTGTCTGCGGCCATGGGCATTGGTGTGGCCAAGCTCCAGGTGCCAGAGAGATGGCAGCACCGAGTGGCGATGAGACTCATGACGGTTGGCACGCACTCGT